CCTTTGGAGGAGGAGACCAAGACACAATTTTGATGATTGAAAGCCTAGAATTATAGCAACAATCCCCAAGAGATGGATCAGAAATGAGAGAGTCCTTTAGAATAGACACATCCTTGGAGTTAGCTAAGAACCAAGTAGCCAACCTACATCTTGCCATAAAAAATAGATCAATCTGATCTAACCTTTCCCCATCAAACACAATGGCATTCCTAAATTTCCAAATAGTCCATAGAACCACTCCCGGAAAGGACCAAATTTTAGAATTAGGCACCATATCTTCCCAAGCTAGCATAAAACTTTGAGCATTGGCATGCAATACCAAACAAACTCCCCAAAATTTCAAAAATTTATTCCATAGGGTCCATGCCACAAAGCAAGTAAAAAATAAATGTGATGAAAATTCAACCTCCATTTTACATAAAGGACATGCAACATCTACAATAGCTGAAACTCCTCTCCTTTGTAATTCTTGTTTTACTGGCAATCTCTGATACACCATCTGCCACATAAAGACCTCCACTCTAGGAGGCACCAAGCCCCTCCAAATGTTTTTATCCAAAAGGAGTCTGCTGTCGAAACAGGACAGCATGACTTCACACTAGAATTGGCAGTATAAATTCCTTCCCCATTCCCTCTCCAAACCAAACCATCTGACCACTCATGGAAAAGAGTGATATTGTGAATTATAGCCATTAAAACAGAAAACTGATCCAATTCCCAATCACTCAAATTTCTTCTCATTTGAACATGCCAAGACCAAACTGATGTTCGAAACTCTCCAAACTCATTTAGCTTCCCATTCTTGTTTAAAGAAAGAATAAACAATATCGGGAAAACCACTTTAAGAGGTGAATCAATCGCCCAGCTATCAAACCAAAAACTGATGCTCTCTCCATTCCCCACTTGTACTTTAAACAAACTTCGAAACTTAGCTCCAAACTGATCCTCTTTGAAATGATTTTGGACCACCGATTTCCAAATCCAATAAGTATGTGCAGGAAGTTTATTCTTGAAAATCAGTAGTTCATAAAGCAACAATCATGATATTTTTCACAAAAAAGATAGCTTGCACGACATTTATTTCTCGTCTAATGTGAAACAATTGAAGTCTAAATCTCCATAAGGGGGGAAAACCCTAACCATGCAACAAAAAGAATGTCACTGCTTAAAGGTAGAGACAGATCATAAATTGGCAAGCAAAAATGTGATAATGACTCAGGCAGGCAATTTGATAAAAATGACTTTCTCACAATGATCAGTTAGTTGAATTCCATATTCAAAGCGGCATTATTCTTACCCTCAGGCGACCCAGTATTTAGAAATAAACAACCAAAACACATCTTTCAATGAAATTGACAAGGCAAAGCATGTCTAGACTTCCAAGCATATGCCAGATATCCCTTGCTGCTATGATTTACAAGTACAAACTTAAAATACACACAAACAAGTGTAAATGAATACCGTATAAGCACTGGACTGTCCCCCGACTGCACTCTTGACTCCAGCTTCTCCATATTGATCATACAAAGCTCTCTTTTTATCATCTGATAACACCTGACAGTGTTGCAATTCATTTTTCAAAAGACAACATGATGAATGAAATTGAACACGGTAATTCACACAAAGAAACCTCTAGGAAAGAAAATCCGCAGCACTCCCAGCTCCACAAATTGAAATGTTATTAACAGAGAAAGGATTAAAATATAAAACAATCATGTTAACCAACATTATAAATATCAAGACCTTTATACGCGACCATATAATAAACAAGAGAAGTTGTAACTTAGTATTTCAAAGCAGTAAAAATATGAAAGCTGCACTCACAGTCCTTGCATTCTAAATGGCTTATGCTAATCAACATTAATACATCTTGGTCTAAAACTTTTTGTGCATACCTCATATGCAGCACTAATCTCCTTGAACTTTTCAGTTGCTCCTGGCTCCTTATTGACATCGGGATGATACTTCAAATGATGATGAAAATTTACAATGTCAGTACAACAATGAGAAATTAAAAAAAAAAGTATAAAAAATACACAATTCATTACTGTTTACGGTATCAATACAAACTTAGTATCTTCATATTTATATGAGAGCACATTTACAACAAGAAAGAATGGAAAACTGGAAAACAGCTAGGGAGAATACCAGTTTTCCTTCTCAGAAGGGTTATTTCCTAGGGGGAAGGAAATAGCTTGATTGAATCAAGCCATATCTGGAAGTTCAAAGCAAAAGAAAACACCAGCTTGTGAGGTACAAATTGAATCATTTATATTCTAACCATAGGTATTTTTCCATTGATAATATGATTGCAACAGTGACATACTAGTGAACTAGGATTATTTATGAGAAAGCAAAACATTTAAGACAGCTTTTCCCGGAGCAGCCATAGAAGCTTAAAGTTTTCTATTCATTGACGTATAAAATTTGGCTGCCTATCAGCTACTTGGGAAAGGCCAAGTGCAATCAAATTAAACACAAATAAACTTTACACATAAAAAATAATGCTGAGCATCGCATACCGAAACAGAGCATCAACAGAATGATCCATTATATGTTATAGTTTAATCAGTCAAAGAATGAAGATAAGGTTTGTGTAAAAATGATATACTTAAATCAGATCAAAGAAGACCCATTTTTATTTATTTTTCGAGATTGAGAACATAAAAGTAAAAAAATACATAATCTTATTAACATTTTCCATTTACTAAATTTTGTATATTGTAAGGACTAAAATCTACCCACCAAACATTCCTTCATATTCACCAACTCCAAAAGTTAAAACTTGAGACTTGAGCTCTCAATCAGAAATTCTGGTTCTGCCGCGAATAATTCCCTCTTTATCATAACTCAATACCTAAGAAAATAGCTTTTCCTCCTCTTATGCAAGATACACATCTCCTTGGGCTACCCTTAACTATTTCAGCAAGACAGCATACCAGCAACAAAACCCAGAAGGGAAATGCAAAACTAACAGAACAAACTTCTAAAATATGGAAGGAAAAAATAAATCAACAATTGAACTGAGTGAAGTACCTGACGAGCTAATCTACGATAGGCGGCCTTAATATCTTTACCGGAAGCAGATTTGGGCACTCCAAGAGTAGCATAATAATCCCCAGAAGCAGCCACCACCAGCGTCCCAAGACGGTGAGTACCAGCCCTACCATTATTCAATCTCCAAGAACATGCCGAAGAAGAAGAAGAAGGGAAACTCACACAAGCGAAGCTGTCGTGGGACCTGAGACGGGCCCCACCATTGATGAAAACAGAATAAGAACAAGCATAAGAAGACGATTGGGAACTGTTGGAATGGCTTTCATTAGGGAAACCAAGTGATGAAGGCAGCACATATAGGGAAGTAGTGGCTGCCATTTAAAAAAAGAAGTTTCTAAGTGGTTTTGAGAAAAGGGTGTTCAATAAAATTGATCTCTCAATAAGACAAAAACTTGGGTTTGATCTTGCAATTCATGTTTAATTGTTGAGCCACAGTTTCAGTGGAAACTGCAAAAGGGGAGAAGGAAAGGAGAGGAGGGCATAGCCAGAAAGATTGGATTTTGTTTTGTTGCTTTGTTTTTGTACATGGACTGAACGGACACGTTTTTCAATACTTCCATTTTTTTACAAATTCTTTTCATTTCCTTTTCCCCTTCTCTATAACTTGTCTAAATTACACTACAAGTCATTCTATTATAAATAAGTTTATAAATGTCTCATCATATTTTAAAAAGTTACAATAAAATTTTAAATCGGTAACTAGACCTCTAATAAGCTCACGTGTTCCACTAGAGCGAAAGCTAATATATGAAAAGTAGATCTATTTAACCTACTGATCTATGAGTAGTCATGATGACCCTAAACCTCACATCAATCGTCAAAGGATCATCATAAAAGCTCAGCAGGCAACCTAAGAGGGGTACAATCTCTCTTAAACTTTTTCATCTTCTACCTTGAACAATCTCATATCACAAACCACATTTTTCATCACATCTCTCACAAAAAATCATTGGTTGCTGCTTTTCAGAAACTACCAACTCTTGGTCACTCGAGACCTCTAAATATATTGCTTTGTTTATTGCAACTTTCAAGGAACTCATATTCTCATGACGTAAGAGTATCATATCTTCTGAGTAAGTTATAGTGCATATACTAAACCTTTAATAAGACCACGTAATAAACTAGAGCGAAAATCTAAAATATGACAACCAGATCTATGAGTAGTCATTTTAACCATAGGCCTAACACTAATCATCAAAGGGTCATCATAAAAGCTCATTATACAGACAATCTCTCTCGAACTCTTTGATCTTCTACCTAAAATAATTTTCTCTCCGAAATCATATTTCTCATCGTATCTCTCAGAGAAAATAATATATTTATTCATAAAAACGATATTTTAATTGAAATATTATCTCAGATGTTTAAATTTAATACTAAAATTTGAGTTCCTTGTAAGAATAAATGTTTAAGATATTTAAATTAAATATCTATTAAAATATTTAAAGTCGGTATTTAAATCTAAAATAATTATTTGGTAAATTTTACTAAAATTTTTAGAATAGTAAATAAATATTTTTTATCTTCATTGTGAAAATAAAACAAAAAAAATAAACCTTCGTTGTCAACTAATTTTATACTTACGCTATATCAATTATTTCTAATATTTTGAACAGAAAATACTGTAGAGAATCGATGAGCTTGGATTTCCAGAAATGTAAAATTTTGTTGATGACGGTGATAAGTTAAATTTGAATTTTATGAATTTGACCATTCGCTTTAAAATAATTAATAAGGAATAATTTCAATATTTGTTTATATTAGTGAAATAAATTTTAATAATTTCAAAATCTAGTTAATATAAATACTAGGTCGCCTTCTCTTAAGATAAAATGACACGATTTTCCGCAGAAAAAACGTACAAGTTAATGAATTAAAGCACTTCCAGTTGGTCAATAAGAAGCAACAGATTCATTTACGTAAATATTTAAGAATTTAGCCACTTTAGTAACTCTCAAAGATCACCAAAACAGATTCATTCTGCACATATCTCTCATCATATAATCTGTGAAAAGAACACCAAAAAAGGTATATTTCTCAGCGAAACCAATGACATACACAAACAAACACCGACCGACCGTATACGGATTTAGGCATTCAAAGGGCAAACCGGGTTGACGGAAAGCACACGAGCTCAGTTCAACATACTGTGCAGGCAACTTCTCCAACGCTTGGGAGATTTTAGATTCGTATGCCCACCTGCCCGTACCATGAAGTGAGACACTGAAGCAAACGGGAGGCAACTTTACAAGAATGACTCGGGAAAATTACTCATGTATGAAGTTTATGGCTGCAGGAAACAAACGTCAACCTCCGTAAAGCGAGAGTGATACTTTATGGATGCATTTGTACTATTAACAAGAGTCATGGTAATGGGAATTCATTAATTTGCAGTTAAAATTGCTCACCGGAGAACAAATGAAATGCACAACCACCAAATTAATAGAGCCCCAACATTCTTAGCTCTGTCACATGGCTGGGGTCTAGTTCCGGGGTGTTCTCGTTGTCCTCCCGGTCTTCAACCACATATTCCTGACAACATCATCAGGGAATGTGATATGCTAAACATTTTCTGCTTTGACACTAATAAACAAATCTAGACAATATATTACAATTTTGGATTTTGATAGGATAGAAAGGCCAAAAAAAGAATATGAAACGGAACACAATGAATACCAGAATTTTAGTTTTGTTAGTTTTGAATTAGAATATCTAAGGTGTAAAACTGAAACCATATCAAAGCAAACAAAAAAACTAGGGTTTTTTCAGCTATTTTTTACGATATACCTTAGTTAATTCCTGTTTCGCAAGAACATGATAATGCCGTTCATTGATCCTCTGACCACATATGATAGCAATGAAGAAACCATAGAGCAAACCCACCGAAACAATTGCTAAAACTGCACATCAAACCAAAATACAATACACTATAAAATCTTTATTGGCATCACATGAAGATGGTAAACTCGGCATGCTGACCAGTTGTGTAATCTTGTAGCATGTCATAAGCATGCTGACCAGTTATTGGAACAAAGACATTATAAACGCAACTACCCACAAGTTTAGAAAATACCACACTATTTTTCTTTATTTGTTGCCTTCTAGTTTAATCTATAAAGGATTTCCTCACACCTTAATGAGGAGCTTCTGCCATAATGAATTTCTTGTCATTTTACCAAAGCATCCTTCACCCTTTCCAAGAAAACCACAATGTTCATTCAAGCAACAAGATCAGTTACCCTGAAGTTTCATACAATTTCTTAAGGCTTAAACAGAAGGGTAATATTTTCTGAGCTATGATTCCAATTGGTCTAGTTGTAATAGTAACCTTGATTACTGAATAAAGATTAAAGGCACATGATGAAAGTGTGAAAACAAGGGGAAAATGCTTCTTTGTTGAGATTTACAACAAATTATTTCGGCTGGAAATTGACATGGTGAGTTTTCCCACTCCAAACATTTATTTACTAATGGATTTAATAAATTTCATTTAACTTTAATTCTTAATTTGAAAATGGAGTAAAGCATGCTTAATTTGTTATGTATTTGAACCAATAATTAAAGAGAGGTGACAAAAAACCAGGAGAGAAATGAAGTTTTGAAGCAGCATAATCCCTAAATAGTTGTAATTGTATAACGATCATGCTGCAAAATCAACTGTGCAAGCATGTATGATATACACAGTGGCAAAAAAATGAAGCATCATAAACCAACAAAGGATTAGAAACGACGAGAACCGAGCACAAAACTTGTAAGACTGAATGCGTGTGCCTGAAAGCCTTTATCATAATCACACGGGGTGGGGGAGAAGGGGAGAGAGCAGTACCTGCCATTGTATAAAACCCATAAGGGTGTTCATCATAACCAAACATTTCTCTTAGTTCTTCTCCATAGAACTTGTAGACCACCACCCCTAGGAAAGTTACAATCTGTTCAAAACAAGGTTTCCGTTTGCAAGTTAACCAGCAGCATCAAATGAATGTTGGACTAACACATTGGAATAGAACGAATACCCACATCTTAAACTTGAACCTACATTTGAGTAACAAAGAAAAGAACAAAAGACTTGTGGAAGTTACTGTAGGACGCACACTAGAAGAATGCTGGGAGAACATCGCAGCATGTCTGGATACAAAGTTGTTTCCAGAGGTTTGAGTTCAAAGTAAAACTTAAAAAGGGTGGATAAAGTAAGCAACTATTAGATAACACCATGGATGCTAGCCTAGACCAAGGTATTCAGATAAGCACAGATTGAACTGTGTTTTGAAGGTTTAAGGAAAAATTTGGAGTTTAACAGTCTAGTACAGAAAAGGTGTTAGATTCGAAGGCATAAAATGATCAAGCAAACAAGAAGCTCATGGTTGCAGCATCCGATATTAAGGCAAAAGATTAAGAGCAAAAGGGAACTATGCGATAAAAGAGATCCCTAGGAAATCACATTTCTTAAACAAATAAACAAGAAGATCATGGTTGCAGCATTCAATATGAAGGCAAAAGATTAAGAACAAAAGGGAAGTATGCTATAAAAGAGATCCCTAGGCAATCACATTTCTTAAGCAAATAAACTTTGAAAATGGCAGAAATCGGGCCTTAATGAGGCCACATCATTTCAAAGCTTTTATTAATATCCTTGCTTTCAATCGGCAGGTTACAAAATGTGCATGTGTTATGTACAAAAGATTTTCATGGACACCCTGATCTGAATTCTCCGAATGCTTATAGGACTCAACTTATAGGTTAGAACAGTTATGAATCTATCAACATTACAACCATAAACTAATTAAATTAACATGTAACAGCTAGAAAACCTAATACCATTCCCTCTAGAATGAAGAGGCTAACAAAACCCTGGGTTACACTAAATCTAGAATCACAACCTAAGTATCCTTAAATCAAGAAAATTGATGAAAAGATAAATAAAATAAGAATGTAGCATGGTAACTTTATCAAATATGGTTTCAGACTCAGGGTTCAGCAAATAAACACCAAACAAGTTTTACTTGACAATAATCACAGAATCCATTTTTGGGCTCTAGACTTTTCTAAAATTTCAAATGAATCAACATTTCAAGGAAAATGCCAGACAAGTAAAATGGCATGGGATATCATCATACCAGCTGAACAATTACAAAGATGAATGCATGGTCCCTTGCAACAAGGAACTGGAATTTTAATCTCAACCACCATCGGTCAGGTGGGACATTTGCGCGTATGATGAACAATGCCCTGCACTCTGTACAGTGGGCAAATGCAAAGCCCTCCTATAGAAACAAAAGGGAGAAGAATAAATACTATTAGTTATCAAATATAAATTTCACTGCATAAAGATAGTAAAACTCATAGGCATTTCAAATTCAATATGGCAAGGAGTGTTTACACAACCCGAACAGGCATCAGTTGGAAACTCAAATTCCTTTAGCAAGAGAATTTGATATTCATGTATGGTAGGATACAAAATTATATTGTGTAAAAATAATTAAAAATAATTTTCATACTAGACTCAAATTATGAGTGTGTCCCAACTTCCCTTAATTGGTCATTCAAACATGAATATCCCACAAGCAGCTACAGAAATTTCCACATCTAATTTTTTTTTCAAATGCAAGAGAAGACAACAAAGAAACAAGCATGAACCTTAGTTGACCTCCAGTTATCAAGACAAGATCTATGGACATACTTCTGAGTGCCCTTGCAGTGACATGGTGCAATTAAGTCGTCCCCTGAAAAATAAGCAACCATGTGCCTCAAGATAAGTCATCTTCAGCTTTCTTACATAAATGAAAATCCCACCATCCCGAAATGGATATAGCAAACTTATCAAATAGAAATACATGTTTAAGTGGTAAGACCTTCATTATCAAGGCATATACGGCATTGTCGGTGGTCTGCATTCACAAGATGGCTGCTTTCGTCAACATCAATTTCTTCCAAATCTTCACCAACAACAATACAATCCCCTCCAACAGCTGTAATTTCACATTCTTCCGATGATTGTGAAGCAGCAGACTGAGATAAGATGGGTTCTCTTTCAGAAATATTTTCCTTCCGACTATCATTTGATACTAATTGCATTGCTAACAATATTGTATCCCTACTATAATGTTAAGATCATTGCCCGAGCAATGGATCCCACTGCACATTTCAGTAACAGCTGAGGAACCTGAAAAAATATGGAAAAATAAAATAAAATTACTCTAATCCGTAAACACAACTTGCATAATAAATTAAGGTCAACCAATACACTATGAATATAACACCACCAAAGATGAGGCAATCAACATTTAAATTGCTTTCAAACTTAGTATAAAATCCAAAAGTAAATTAGCAAGAGGAGAATATACAACCAAATATACAAAAAATTTAATAAATTAGCAAGATTTTCTTATACGTATCTGAACAAATAACAAGTTCCATAGCAGCAGGCATCAATCGAAGAGAAAAATTACAAAGATTCTAAACGTTCTCTCTTCCATCCAAATTTCCTGATTCTTTTATTCTTCCTCCTACCATACCAATCAAGCAAGATCCTTTACATAAAAAAATGAAAAGAGGTAACCAAAACACCATACAGTGTACGAAAAACAAAATCTTAACGAGTTCAATTATGAAAAAGAACAACTTACAGAAAAACTACAGAAATCAAGAAAGACCCAAGTTGTTAATTTGACATCAAAGAAATCGATGCTCTTCCAAGATTCGTGAAGGGAAAAAGGAAAGGCATATGAATTAATTTCTTTTAAGAATTCCACAAGTGTGGGAGGAAAGATTGAAGGGCAACCCTCAGACCTGACATTGAAATGCTTTAAGGATCTTCAACATTGATATTCATATGCATTTGGGTGATTAATTTTAGAGTTAAATTTCCAGATAAAGAAAGTCAATCAAATTCTAGAAAGGATAAGAAACAGAGACGGAACAATCGACGGGGCAGAACCTTGACGGAACGCTACAGACCAATATTAAACGATAAGAAAGACGAGAAAAACTTACTAAATGTAGATTATTATTATTTTTAATATTATTATTATTATTATTTGTTTCTTGATCGTAACTAAAAATAGTTGTTTTAATTCATTATTAATTAGGGTAAAGTACATGAATATTTCCTCAACTATAGAATGATACTTTATTGAGTCACTCGATTATTAAAAGTTATAAAATGATCCCTCAACTATGGGGCATTACTTTGTTGAGTTATTCGAATATTAAAAATTATAAAATGGTCATATGATCATTTATATGTTTCAAACTCATCCTTTTCTGTTAACAAATTAACGACAGCCTGATCTGAACGTTAATATACTAACTGAGATAAGATAAAATATGATATCAGAATCACAAATGACTATCATATCTCAACCAGCATGTTAACATCCAGCTTAGACGAACGTTAATTTTTAAACGGAAAATGACAAGTTTGGAACATGTGAATAGTAAGGTGATCATTTTATAACTTTTAATAATTGATTGACTCAACAAAATAACATCCTATAGAAGAAGGACCGTTTGTGTACTTTACCCTATTAATTATGATAAGTAATGAAATTAAACATTGTTAAAGTTACCGCGTAATTTACGAAGGGACAAACGACTATTTGTTGTCCACTTTAGCCAATTTGTATAATTATTAGTGATGATTACGAAGATCTCTCTAACATAACAATGTAAAACTAAGGATAAACTATTTCTTTAGTCATCAAACTATGGAGTTATTCTACTTTAGCTACTACATTGTTTAATTTTACAATTAGTCACTAATGATTTCATTTGATTAGTCTCTAATATTTGCACATTATGTTGGTCTTAAACCTAAATAAATCAACAAATTTAACCCTCTACATTTACAAAGTCTATAAATTTGGTCATAAACCTAAAAAATTAAATATATATGTATCAAAATAATTATAAAAAATCCATTGTGATAAAAAAGACTATAGGTATGCATAGGGTCGTAAATGAGACGAGACAGATTGCGAGTTACTCGAGATAGAATCGATCAAAGCTCAGTCAATACTTGAATCAAATGGACTTGAATTAAGCTCAAACTCGACTCAAATTCTTAACAAGTCAAAGCGAGCTAGTTGATACTCGACTTGAAAAGCTCACGGGCTACTCGAGAAATGATATATTAAAATTTTAGATTTTAAATTAAATTATTAATAATATTAACATTTATTAATAATACTAACATTTATAAGTTATTTATTTTAAACTACTAAGCCATACCATGAAGCTATGGGAAATGGTGATAGAGGCTAGGTTGAGACAAGTTACTAGGGTTTCGGAAAACCAATTTGGCTTTATGCCAAGCAGGTCTACCACGGAGGCGATTCATCTACTTCGACGACTTATGGAGAAATATAGGGAAAAGTCTAGAGATCTTCACATGACGTTCATTGACCTTGAGAAGGCTTATGATAGTGTTCCCCGCGATACGATCTGGAAGACTTTGGAAACGAGACGGATCCCAACAGCTTATATCCGGGCGATCCGTGATATGTATTGTAGATCTACTACATACGTCAGGACTACAGTTGGCGACATCGAGGCATTCCCGATGGAAATTAGACTCCACCAGGGGTCGACTCTTAGCCCTTACATCTTCGCCTTGATTATGGACGACATCTATTGTGAGACACCAGATGGTGTACCATGGTGTATGCTTTTCGCTGACGACATTGTCCTAGTTGCTGAAACAAAATCTGAGTTGATTAGTAGACTGGCTACCTGGAAGACTGCTTTGGAAGAAAAAGGTATAAGGATCAATATTGAAAAGACATAGTATTTATGTTCAAACTTTAGTGGGGACCAAAACGATGAAGATGTAGAAGTATGCATAGAAGGACACATTCTCCCCTCAAAGGATTGTTTCAAGTACCTAGGGTCTATGATACATAAAGATGTGGGTGTAGATGATGACGTTACACACTGTATAAAGGCGGGATGGCTAAAGTGGAGGGTCGCTACTGGAGTTTTGTGTGACAAGAAGGTGCCTCTAAAACTTAAGGGAAAATTTTATAGAATGGCAATAAGACCAGCGCTGTTGTATGGATCAGAATGTTGGGCAACCAAGAAGGATCATGTAAGGAGGATAGAGGCCGCTGAAATGAGAATGCTTCGATGGACATGCGGTAGGACTCTGTGGGATATGACAACAAACTCTGCTATTAGGATGTCCTTGGGGGTGGTGCCTGTTTCTGAAAAATCGAGGGAAGGAAGACTACGGTGGTTTGGCCATGTCCTTAGGCGACTACCGTCGGATGCGGTCAGGAGGGTAGAGTCGATTACAATCGACGGTGCCAGAAGGAGAGGACGACCAAGGCAGAAGTGGGAAGACTGCTTGAGATCTGATTTGATGGATTTAGCCCTTACCGATGACATGACCTCTGATAGGAAAGTATGGAGACTTAAGACTAGGATAGTCGAGTAGTATGGGTCACATCTCTAGGGTGTATCATCTTTGTCTTCTTTTAATGCCTTTGTAGTAATTTCCATGACTTATACTTTTTATACGTTTCTGTTATTGGTATTTATGAAGGCTTAGAACTGGGCTTACTATCGTTGACTTCTGTGTATCATTCTCTTCACTTTTAAATTTAGTCGGGTCTTACGTTTCTGTCTATATGCAGAGATTTTTTCGCAGGGATTTATCTGCAGGGATTACTGCCCATTACAGACGCGCATAAGATATTAATGATATTAATGACTGCATATGAATACTGTTCAACTATGTATTTATACATGCATTGCATTTTATCTATATTTTTAATTTTCTAACTGCCGGAGGTCTTCCACGGAAGCTACTCTCAACCTGGCAGCCTATTACCCTACCTCCCCCTTACCCCATTGCATATGGGAATTGGGTTTTGTTGTTGTTATTGTTGTTATTTAAAAAAATCTATATAAGGCTTTCATGTACTTAAGGTTCGAGTTCGAGTCGAGCTTCAATTTATGATTTTGAGTGGAGCTTGAAAATTTTATGCTGAAAAACTTTTGAGTATACTCGAGCTTCAATTTTTAATTTCGAATTCTAGTTTAACTTAATAATTTTAAACTCACGAGTTTTCGTATCGAGTCGAACTTAATTTTAAAGTTTTCAAGTCGAGTCGAGTTCCACATTAGGCGAACTAGACTCGACTCATTTTCAAACCTACATGCACATGTTGGATGTAATATTGTACCATGAACTATCAACATTGATAAAACAATAATATATATGTATATATAATACAAACAGTGGCTTAATAAGATTTACACTTATTCAAAAGTTAGAGCCTACATAAATTAATTTTCAAGAATTTGAATATGATCTCTAAAATATTCCACTGGCTTATTAAGCTATGAATCTATTGCCATAACAATCGGTTAAGCAAATCTTACTTGTCGGTGCACTCTGACGTTAGTTAGATACCTTCAAAAAAAGAAAAAGGAATATTCAAATCAATCAATAGGAAAAAGAAATATGGGTTAAAATCCAGTGAATTAAGTTAGAAATTTGAAGTCAATAGATCAAAATCATAGAATAAAGTCAAAATCAACAATCAAAGTCAATAATCAATAAATTAGGTCTATGGATTAAAATGATTCGGGTTAACAAATATGAGTAAAAAAAAGTTATAAATCAGGTTCGATTCAGGTGTGGATATATATAAAGTTCAGGTCAAATCAATGAGTCATATATGAATTAATCAATGGGTCGTATATGATTCAGTTAATAGATTGGATATAAATTGATAACAGTCAATAAACAAGTCATGTATGAATCGAGTATACGTATAGGCCTCGTGCTTGATAAACCATTTAGGTCAACAACATTTGCGTCGAAAGCTATTGAGCTTGGGCGGTTCAGTTCCACTAACAGGCAGGTCTTGATGGGTTATAACAGACAGGGCTCAAGCGGTATAGTCTAGGTCCAGGTGTGTTTGGGCTGCACTCAGTTGGGCTAGTGACGAGTCATAGTGGGCTATAGTTTTGTAACGTCTCGAATTCCTAAGTCAACACGTGAGAGTTGATTATATTTCTGATACTTTGTGATTTTATGACTTTTATAAATATGATGTTTTACGTGTGGATTTGAGTTTTGAAACATGTTGAGTATTTTGCATGATTTATGTCGTAGATTATCCTTGGACGGTCCAACATGTGGTTTTATTGTGCTAAATGACCTTACAAAATTCTCCTAACCTTAAAAATTGATTTGGGCTTAAACTAAAATATTTAAAAGGGTTTTAAAATGATTATTGAGCTTAAAATATAAATTTTTAAATTTATTGACATTAGATGAATTTGTGAAGAAATCTAAGAAATTTCAACTCAGCTTGAGTATTTATATGGTTGGATATTAGTATCGGGGAATTTTGAGACATTTTTCGGTGCCGATACCATCATTTTGTATTGATACTGTGGGTTTGATATCGATACTAATAAGTGTGTATTGATATCGAGGTCCATGTACTCCTTGTTTAAATATCCATATTGTTTATTGAGTACCTATACTCTCTAATTGGGTATCCATACTCTCCAATGTCGAAAGTTCAGAAACATCTCTTGTTGCATTCAAATAATTGTGAATCACCATGGAATGTACAAGCAAGCTTGGAAAAGGGGTCTTAACTCATGAAATAAAAATAATAATTTTAAATGGTATAAATGACCAAAATATTCTTGATGGGTAAAAAACTTCAAAAGTGTCCTTAAATATACTCGTATCAAAATAGACTGATAAATCAATGGTGCATAAGCCATCTATCAAGTAAATAATGTATTTACCATTTGAAATAATTAGCACAATTGAACATTAAGAAATAAATGTGAACAATGAATCATTTTAGAATGAATACTCATATATAGAATGATGTACTATTAGGGATGACAAAAAAACCCGAATCCGACAGGGAAAATCGAATTAAACGGGTCGGATTCAGGGATGATAAACGGGGACGGGGAAAAATCATTTATGCTAAACGGGGAAGGGGAAGGGTTTGGTAATCCCCGCCCTGATTACCCGGCCCGATACCCGGCCCGATAAATATTAAAAATAATTATTATTATTATATATATATTAATAAATTTAATTTAAATTAATATATATATATATATATAATATTTATATATTTAATTTAAATATATATACCCATCCCGATACTCGTTTAAATAACCGTTTATGCTAAACGGGGATATCCGTTTTCCCGCGGTTTTTCCCGATTATCAGATGGGAATCCACGTTTAAATTCTCACGATTTTTTAAGCGGTGACAGATATGAGTTTTTTAAACGGGGACGGGGACCAATACCCGGCCCGTTGCCATCCCTATGTACTACGTGAATAATATATTAGATGAACCTCATACCATGTGAATATTGAGGTAGCGATGATGTATCATGTATAAATCAAATCCCAAACCTTTCAATAGGTTGTGAGAAAAGTGAAAATAAAAACGAGTGACAAATTATTAATAGATAATCAACATGAAATTGAAAATTGTGCTAAATGAATAGTGTATCATATGGGCAACGATGATGCTTATCATAAAACACTAAAAGATTATGTTATCCTTGTAACATCCATAACCCATATACATCTTAAAATATGAGTCATAAATGTTACATCAACTTTACAAATGTTCATTGAGCGTAAATGCTTAAAATTTTGTTTCGCTTTAAAATTCTCATATTTTAAACTTTAAATCTATTTTCTTAAAAGCACATAATTATAAATTAATAGATTGTCGTAAAACAAATTCAATTTTCAAGCAGAGATTAGATAGTTTAGTGTATTTTTCGTAAATCATTTAGACCTGCCTGAATTCTACTAACTATTCTACTCGTGCATAATATTGATAACACTAGTCTAGACAAAATAAATAAGTCATAGTTTACTATTACAGACTATTTAAAAGCAAATTCGATAAATAAAACTACTAACATAATTATGCATGCCACTAAAAGTCAAAAATAACATCGTAGATGTCTTACTGATATTGATGATAGATATGACTTCCAAAAAGATGCTTGAGAGGCTCATCACTGCTCGTCCTTATATCTATTATAACCTACGCATGAAAATCATCATGCGCTAAGTATAACTTAGTGAGGTAATAATAAACTGATAAAACATGAAATTATCATAAATATAAATATAAATAATTTATACGAGAGGGGGCTTCCCCATTATACGATTCCTACTGCGAGAGTGACCTATGACAAATGCGTGCAACTCGTCAAAGGGAGTTACCAACCTTAGTCTTCTTTGGAATGAGTCTCAAACCTCTGTTATTAAAAAAAAAAAAATCTGACAATTTTATTGCTGCCAACCAGCCTCTTTAAATAGAGGTTACATAGGTTTACTTGTTTGAATAAACGACTTAAAAGTAAGAAAATTAAAAATAAGGGCTCTAAATAAAGGACTAAAAGAGCTGTTAGCTAAGCCTTTGATCTTTGGTTCTCTGTATACGATTGATAAGTAAGATTTAGGCTGGTTTTTTAAACACACTGTTGATGGTCCTTAGCATTTGTATTTCTTATCTAATAAACTAGAAAGAGAGGTTAATTATATAAGCATAAAAACAAGAGTAAGGGAGCATGGTTTGGCCATATATGCAAACTTAGGTAAGTGCAATTTATTAATCCTGTTGTTTCCCAGCCCTCACTCGTGTTCCCTTACACGCTGTTAGAGATTGGCACATCTTGTTCAAGGCTCTATGTAGTTTGGATTGCCGAAACACATTATTTTGCAGCAAATCGGGTAGATCCTTGGCATATAGCCATTGTTGTTTGTATCTAGTGCATCTGTATGGTTGTCCTTATTTATATGCCTACATACATTATTTCTTGTCGTAACTCATCAAGTGTAATGTAGTTCGTTAATTGCAGTATGGACTACCTGGTAGCAATCCTCATCGGACACACGCATCTCAAATCTTAAGCGACCAAAGTATGAATGATAATGGTTTTGACATTCTTTCATATATGCATAACATATACATAATAATAATATTATTATATTTTTATATCTAGTGGTGCTTGGTTGCTTCTTTCCTCATTCATAAACTGTTCGATGTGAGTCGAGACTTAAAACATTTTGATTTTGGGCTTTTTTGCATGCAGTGTTTAATACGGGTTCCAATCCTGGGGGGCTTACGGCCATGCAGCCACAGCAGCAACAACAGCAGAAGCAGCAAGGTGCATTTGGTAAGGAATCAGCAGTTGATGTTAATACAACAATACCTGGTGGGAAGATACAAACAGTTGAAAAAGGGTTGTAATGGGCTGGAGCGGAAGATCAAACAAGTTTTTTTTTTAATACCGAGGGTCCGAGAATTATTTGGCCCAATACTCGAGGTAACCATTGTTTTTGCCTGTTATCAACGGTTCTAATCGGTTAGTTTTTTCGAATTTAAGAGAAATAATCACGTCGAGATAACTGATTCCATAAATTTTTTAATTTTTAATTAATTTTATAAATTATTTTTAAAAAATAATTTCCTAAGAGGTGACAAGTCCCACTAAATACATTAAAATAATGATCCACATAAGATCTACTAAACTGAGACCATTAAAATAATATATCCAATCGAACTCGTCACCCATACTATAGTATTTACCGTAGATTGCAAAATAAAAACTGGTACGTCATATTGGGCCAAAAAACCGATCAAACAAAGCACATTTTAGCTACAGTGGACGTATGAAATGTGAAGCCCAGCTTGAAAGGACGATAGAATTAAAATATCCCCCTTGCCATTGAAATTTACAAAGTGAGAATCACTTCAACGTTAAAACAATTAAGTAGCGGAAGACATTCCCATAAACTCGACAGCAAACTCTTGGTCATTTTTCCCTAACATTTCTTCTAAGCTGCATTCAATATTCCTTCCCTTAAGTACCCAGAATCTGGGTTTTATTCTCTTCTCCGGTGAATAACTGAAGAACCTTGGATACCCCACCACATCCTTCACTGGCTTTCCTATGCCGTTTAAAAGGAATTCTAGTTTCGGTTTTAATACCTCCTCGATGCTGTATCCTAGTAAAGGGGAAAACCTACAGACCATTAAACTGATCTCCCTCCTCGACAGCCCCATCTCCATCAAATAATTCATCCTGTTCATATAACAACTAGATTGAGTTACAACAACAATGATTTTTTTTCATCACTGCATAATCTGTAACTTTACAAACATGGTTTTCATCATAAAATTGAAGTAAAAATAAAAAGGCATGACACCAAATGTTTATATTTCCAACTTTCATATCCATTCCTAAGTTGGTTCAAGGTACTGCACCTCAAGATTAGAAGGACATGTGGCATCGACATCAAAACTCATTTCGTTTGTGATCTATAACTTGATAGAAAAAAACGAAGAGTTTTTAGGCCTTGCTTGATATTAAGGATGGAAATGAGGAAGGATAGAAAAATTGTTAATCAAATGGATAAGATTCAAAATAAGAAAGTGGTCATGAATCTTAACCATTTGATTAACACATTTTCCATCCTTCATACCAAGCAAAGCCTGAGTACCTTTTCCTTTTGGCCAATACCTTCAATACCATCTACAATAGCATTAACGAAACTCAGATTTTCATTTTATGTTATTTTCTTTTTGGACAGTTTTCTTTTTCCATGGGAGGCGTGGTTGATATTTGTGTATTCTTCCACCACACCAGCACCTCAACTAATATAGACAAAGTGTACTGGAATAAAAGCATTACCGAGGAAGCGGTGTTTTGCCCATGTCAGACACAAGAAGCTCTGGATACTTTTTGATGACGATAGGAAAGTAGTCTCTGGAAATACCAAACTCTGCAAGAAATTCAACCTTTTTCTTCAAAGTTTTGGCAGAAAAAAACTTATGGACAGCGAGAGAGTAGCTTTCCCACACTTTCCTGGTCAAGACCAAGAGCTTTGAAAAATAGAACAACCTGTAAAAAGGGAAATAACCATAATTATATAAGAAAATAAAAAAAACAGAATAAACCAAAAGGAAAAACAGTGCAAAATCAAGTCCATTAATTGAAACCGTAAATGAATACATTATTTCAAAGTTAGGATTTAATGCCACAATTTTACTTTCATAATCCATGGGGACTAGTCTGTTTTACAACCCTTGAGGCGATACAAGTTATACTTAAGAAGCACCTAAGCTTCATAAACAAAATGCTAGGATTATGCAGTTAAAGAAACAAATCAACCAATATTGACCACTGAAAAACAGTAGAGTTGGACTCTTGGAGTTGTCCCTACTCCCTAATACCCAGAAATCAACAAAAATCTGGTTTCACGGCAATGAAAACATGTTATTGCTAATGAATTAACTGAAAGGAAAGAAGTATAAAAAAAATTGAAAAGCCAGAGGAGACATCAGTAACCCCGACCCCTTCCCTCTGTTTCAAATATATGTCTTCTTGTGGGTGTGTTGTGTGTGATCAAACTTCAGTCAATCAGTTCAACAAGGAAGAATTGAATATAGAGCATCAAAAAAAGGGATGGATACCTCCCATAAGTCTAGTTTTCAAACTTCCTCAATAATTAGAATTTATATGTATGGTTACAACATCATTAAGATAAATTACGACAACGAAACATCCATAGAAACAGAAATGTACAAGGCACTGTCCAGGAGCAACCGGTAGGACCATGGGAAGGATAGCATCCTCATTTTTTTCATGTCAGCAATGAGATATAATTGTACTGCATGTCAATTCCTTCAAACATATAGCATGGACTTGCTAAACGTGAATTATCTCACCTTTCAGAGTTATGTTAAACCTAGTTGTTTTTTTAAGAGGCGATTCAACATATAGAGATGGGATGAAGACAATGCAACTTTCTAGCCAAGGTTATGACTTCAATAGAGAATATTTATGCTTGGAGATGTAATCAAATGATGCAAAACACCAACTTTAGGTGCCTGACAGAAGCATAATTACTTGTCCGGTTAAATGGAAAGAAAAAATACTTACCAATAAAGAGCAGTAAACAAAACAAAAAAAAGGTTGTACATTACGTCAATTGGAAGTGTCAGAGAAGAATAAAACTAACTATGGAGAATACATTCTCAGACTCAAATGGCAACTTTCAGAGACTATCATATCCTCCAACAATTTCTTCTTTTAGTAACTATAAAAAATAAGCTCCTGGTTATTTTTTCTGAACAATTAAATTAACAATTTCAAAACAAATAACAAAACATTAGCACCTCAATTAAGCAGTAAATAAACATGAATATCAGGACGAAATCAAAACACAATCACACATAATCCAAGTATACAGTCAAGCACATGAATATAAGGCAAATGTAAGACTGATGTGCATTGGTTAGTCAAGGCTAAACACAAGAGAGTTGATGAGAAAGAACAGCTCTCAAGTGAAGTCAAAGAAGAAATAAAGAAAATTGAGAGAAAAGAGAAGCAGAATCTGTATTATTAGCCAAGATAGAAAAGAGTAATTATTACATGAGTTATAAGCCAAATATCATTAACTAGTTCTAACAGATTTTACAACAAACTTTCTAAGATTAGTCAATACATGAATGTCAACTGACATAACGGCTTTCTTACATTGTTTTATATCAAATACACCCTAGCTAGGAGGTCAAGTTAGGTTATAAAATCAGTATACCTTCTCTTCCTCAGAAAACAAAAGGATCTGCTCATAATTTTCTTGAATACTTGTTGAAAGTATCCACGGATATTTTAGTAACATTTTCCCAATATCTTCATATGCAGCACCAACCTAGAAGAAAATTCATAAAAATAATACTTCAATTATGGACAAACAACATATAAATCATATTAAAATTTAAAATAGAATTCCATCCACTAAAAAGAAAAAAGGTATTCATCTCATTTGCAAATAGAGAATCACACTCAGTTAAATGAAACTAGTATTTAAATTTTGAAAGATGCCTTCTCAAAAGCTGAAACTTTTGATTTAATGCCCTGAATCTTGCAAAACAAGATGGGGGGAAACAACAAAAATACTTTTCCCAAAGATCTTCTTGGAACTCCGACATTTTCAAGAAAATCAACAACAGGTTCCAAATGGGACTCCTCCAGTAACAATAAAAGACGTGGAAATGATTCCAACAGAAATCTAAAAGAATCATCAAATGAAGTCAACATCTCTAAACCTCCATGTCTTGCTTCAATCTGCAACATATATTGCTTAATTTTGTCATGGCAGGAAGCAAATGAACAACTTAAATGCCGATTGAAAAGTTTAAAAATTGGGGGGAGGGAGAGAACAAAAATTATTAGGCAAAAAAAAAAACATGATATCATTTCACATAAGGTAAAAGATTGGAAGTCATATTATACCCTCTCAAAGAAGGATAATGTTTGTTGCACATCTTCATCAGAAGGAATTGACAAGTGCATCATCATTAGAAGAGCAATAACAACAACAACAAAACCCTATTCCCATATGCAATGGGGTAAGGGGAAGATAGGGTAGTAGGCTGTCCCTAACGCCATGTTGAGAGCAGCTTCCGTAAAAGACCTCCGGCAGTCAGAAAATTAAAAATAAAGATAAAATGCAATGCATGTATAAATAAATAAATAAATACGTAGTTGAACAGTCTTCATACGCTGTCTTCATATGCGCATATGTAATGGGAAGTAATCCCTGCAAATAAATCTCTGCGTAAAAATCTCTGTGTATAGACAGAAACGTAAGACTTGGTTAAATTTTAAAAAGAGGAAACCTGAAAATAAGGATACACAGAAGTCAATGATAGCAGGCTACTAGAAGGAATAAAGTCAAATGGGTTAAAACCCAAACTAAGGCAACACTACTTCGCTACCCTAGTTCTAAGCCTTCATAAATTCCAATGAAAGAAACATATAAAAATTAGAAGTCATTGAAATTACTACATAGGCATAAAAAGAAGACAGAGATGTTACACCCTATGGTTGTGATCCTCACTACTCGGCTACCCTGGTCTTAAGTCTCCATACTTTCTTATCAGAGGTCATGTCCTCGGTAAGGGCTAAATCCTTCAAATCATATCTCAAGCAGTCTTCCCACTTACTCCTTGATCGTCCTCTCTTTCTGACACCGTCGACTGTAATCGACTCTACCCTCCTGACCGCATCGCCAATGGACATGTCCAAACCACCGTAGTCTTCTCTCTCTCAATTTTTCGGATACAGGCACTACCCCCAAGGACATCCTAATAGCAAAGTTTGGTGTCATGTCCCACAGAGTCCTACCACATGCCCATCGAAGCATTCTCATTTCTGCGGCCTCAATCCTCCTTACGTGATCCTTCTTTATTGCCCAGCATTCTGATCCATACAGCAGCGCTGGTCTTATTGTCATTCTATAAAATTTTTCCTTAAGTTTTAGAGTCACCTTCTTGTCACACAAAACTCCAGTAGCAGCCCTCCACTTTAGCCATCCCACCTTTATACAGTGTGTAACGTCATCATCTACACCCCCATCTTTATGTATCATAGATCCTAAGTACTTGAAATAATCTTTTGAGGGAAGAACGTGTCCTCCTATGCATACTTCTACATCTTTAGTGTTTTGTTTCCCACTAAAGTTTGAACAAACATACTGTCTTCAATGTTGATCCTTAGACTTTTTTCTTCTAAAGCAGTCTTCCAGGTAGCCAGTCTACTATTCAACTCAGTTTTTGTTTCAGCAACTAGGACAATGTCGTCAGCGAAAAGCATACACCATGGAACACCGTCTGGTGTCGCACAATAGATGTCGTCCATAATCAAGGCGAAGATGTAAGGGCTAAGAGCCGACCCCTAGTGGAGTCCGATTTCCACCGGGAATGCCTCGGTGTCGCCCACTGTAGTCCTGACATATGTAGTAAATCTATAGTACATATCACGAATCTCCCGGATAGAAGCAGTTGAGATCCGTCTCGTTTCCAAGGTCTTCCAGATCGTATCGCGGGGAACGCTATCATACGCCTTCTCAAGGTCAATGAACGCCATATGGTGATCTCTATTTTTTCCCTATATTTCTCCATAAGCAGTCGAAGTAGATGAATCGCCTCCGTAGTAGACCTGCCTGGCATAAAGCCAAATTGGTTTTCCGAAACCCTAGTAACTTGTCTCAACCTAGCCTTTATCACCCTTTCCCATGGTTTCATGGTATGGCTGAGTAGTTTAATACCTCTGTAGTTGCCACGACGTTGGGGATCTCCTTTAATATTGTAGATTGGTATCACCGTAGACTCTCTCCACTCCTCTGGCATCTTTGCAGTCTCTAAAATAATATTAAAGATGTAGGTCAACCACTTAACTCCCTCTTCTCCTAGGGCCAACCACACAGTGATAGGAATTTGATCTGGACCGACAGCTTTATCCCTCCCCATCTTTCTAAGAGCCATTTTGACTTCCTCAAACTCAATCTTACTTGTAGGGCAGTCATTGGCCGTAGTATATTGGTCGGCTGACCCATCAATGGTACTATCTCTACAGGGAGAGGCACCTTCATTAAATAAGCCAGAGAAGTAACTATCCCAAACTCTCTTAATATCATGATCTTTCACTAAAAGAACATCATTGTTGTTCTTAATAAACCTAATGCTACCTAGATCATTTTTCCTATTTTCCCTGGATTTTGCAAGCCTGAAGATGTCGTTTTGTCCTTCCTTGTGGGCAATTCAAAATTCTGACTGCCGGAGGTCTCCCACAGAAGCTGCTCTCAACCTGGCGTTGGGGGCAACCTACTATCCTACCTCCCCCTTACCCCATTATATATGGGAATAGGGTCAGCTAATTTCATTAGACGAGCATTTTTCCCAATAATCCCTTTATCATCACTGACAGAAAATATTATTTCCTTCATATACTTAACCTTTTTTTTTTGATAGGAATAGGAGGACTCATTAGGAACCTCCCTCATAGTTTACATTTGATGTAAACTAATTGAGGGAGGAAAAGAGCACCTCATTTTATTGATAAACCAGAATTACATAAGATACACAATACATCCTGATCCTGAGAGACACAGGATAAACATAACACTCTAACCCTCGAAAATACAACATGACCATAATGCAAATAGCAATGGGAAAAAATCACCCATCAGCCTAACCCCACACCAACACTATCGTATAGTACAACACTAAGCCTACAACACTCAACCGATTCCCTGTTTAGCTAACCTATCTGCCTCCATATTGCAACTCCTAGAAACCCAACTCAGAACAACTCCCTTGAAGCAAGATAAGTAAGGACTCCAGGAAACAAATTTAGATGAAGAGCTCATTTCAGTCGATTCACAAAAGAGCAGAACTCATTTGAAGCAAGATAAGTACCACATTACTGTTTCCTGATCAGATTGGCAAAAAGGTTTAATTTTAGAATTCTCCTACATCAAAAAGATACACTATAAGAGCTTGAGAACACAAACAAGGAGCATTGCGCTAAAGCAGAAGATTCTTTTTTTTTTCTTTCAGGAACATGCATTCTACCAAACGATCATTATGGCTGGTTACCAAAAGAACAAAGTTATGGCCAATATATAAAAGGAATTCTTTAGACTTTTACCACCCAAAAGGTGAACCAATTCGTAAAATATTTTAACCATGAAAAGAAAAAGCAGCAGGTTAGACATGTCAGAATGCAAGAGTACAACTAGATGTCAGCTTAAAGTAAATCTTGAAAAGGATGACAACAGCTTGACCATATGGTAGGTTACTAATGTACACCCACTACTAAGCAAGCCATCAAAAACCAAAAAAAATTGGCCTGATTATCACTTTAGGGTTAATACAAAAAAAAAATCAAAGCTTTTTTCTAGGCATATGCCTTCTTAAATACAGTGCTTATAGAAGAAAATAAGAAGACTGATGTAATTTGACAAAGAAATCTCCATGAAAAAATTGGTCCCAAATGATCATTCACTTCTAATATATGGAACAAAAAGAAAAACGATTATGCAGGAAAAAAATTTATGCAATGAAACTAATATGGGGTATTGAACTCCCAACCAAAAAATGAAATAGCTAGGAACACTCAAACAACAAACCATAGATCAACATATGAAATCAAGAGGTATGTCTCTTTTTTTAATTTGATAAGAATAGGAGGCCTCATTAAAAAAACCCTTCATGATTAATGGAACTCATAGTAAGCTCCTTAATCAACGGAAGGAGGAAAAGAGTGCCTTAGAAATATATTAGAATCATGAAAAGTACATAGGAGTTACAACAACCTAAGAGTCCCTTAGTAGGAATTATAAAAACATAAAAAAACAGCCCTAGACAACAACACATAAATCAACCTATTCCAGCCTTAGCTAGGGCATCTGCCTCTAGGTTAGCTGTCTTATTAACCCATCTAACACCACCTTCAAAAACATTACTTAAATACTGCCCAAATTGAAAAATATCCATTAGTTCCTACAACATGAGACCCATAACATTCCTGCATACTGGTAACTGTTAAGGCATGATGATGTCATTGTTCACAATTTGACTTTGTCAACTTGTGTCTCAATGTGAAAAAATTAGGGTGATGTTTTGTCTGCTTCGTTAAACTCCTCATTTGTAAAGTTCATATGTTTTTATTTTTTAGGCCAAAAAGGATAAGCATGGTTCAAATAATGCCTAAGAAACATTTCACATATTTTTTTATAAGAATTTCAGGCCTCATTAAAACCCCCCTTCTTGATTAATGGATCTTTTAGGAAAGCTCCTTAATCAGCGGAAGGAGGAAAAGAGTACCTTAGGATTTTATTAATCAAGGCAAAGTACATAAAATACA